TCCAAAAACACAAACAACGTTATACAAAGACTATTCATCGCAAAAAAAAAAAAAAAATTAATAAATGAGCATCAGATACAAGAATCACAGAAATCTCGGAGTTTATTAAAAAAGGAGGACTCTGGTGATGCTGTTACTATATCGCCTGGCAGGGAGTTTCAGTCGTGAACAGTCCTTGGGAAAAAAGAGTACTTAAATGCATTAATCCGACAGTTGAATTCTTTGAGCGATTTGTAATGATAACTTCGCATGGGATAATCTTGAGGTGCGGGTGAAATATATTTAGAGATATCGATTTTGAACCGGTTGTTTAATAAATCAAATAGAAACTTTATTCTCGTAAACATGCGTCTGTGCTTTAGTAAGTTCACCCCAGAAAGGGCGTACAGTTCAGAGACGGGATATTTTCGCTGGAATGTATTATGAATGAAGCGTAAACTTTTTCTTTGAACATTTTCGAGGACGTTTATGTTGGTACTTGTAAACGGATCCCAAACCACCGAAGCGTATTCTAGGATGGGTAATATGAAAGTTTTATAGGCTGTCAATTTAACGTCGGAAGAGGCATGTTTTAAATTTCGTCTTAAGTACCATAATTTGGATAGTGCTTTGCGCGCAGTAGACATGATATGAGTGTTCCAGCGTAGGTCATTTGATATAATAACACCCAAGTATTTATAAGAAGTGACTTCGGCTAGTAAAGTACTATTAATGGAATGATCGAAAGAAAGATGACTTAATTTACGAGTTATATGCATTCGAACACACTTCTTGACATTCAATGACATCTGCCACGAGTCGCACCAGTGCGCCATCTTGGACAAGCAGGTGTTTAGTAGAATCTGGTCACTTATTTCATTGACTTCTGTAAATAAAACAACATCGTCTGCAAACAGTCGAACACGTACTGAAATATTAGCGGTTAAATGGTTTATAAAAATTGAGAACAGTAAAGGCCCCCAGGACCGACCCTTGCGGAACACCCGATAAAACGGGGACTAATGATGATTCACTCGAGTTGATCTGTACATACTGCTTTCTGTCCTGTAAGTAGTTCTCGAGCCAGCGAAAGATACCTTCGTTTTGAACAATTGATTTAAGTTTAAGGAGAAGTTTACTATGTGATACTCTATCAAAAGCTTTAGAAAGATCTAGGAGTATGACGTCAATTTGTTTGGATCGATTCAGGATATTTGCGAAATCATGGACTGTTTCAAGTAACTGAGTCGTAGTAGAAAGGCCATGACTAAAACCATGTTGATTTGAAAAGAAAAAATAATTTTTTTCTAAGTAACTCGCGAGGTGTTTAAAAACAATATGTTCTAGCAGTTTCGAACAGTAAGGAAGTAATGAAATGGGCCTACAGTTTACCGGAAGTAGCAGGGAGCCAGTTTTATGAACGGGAATTACTTTTGCATATTTCCACTCAGCAGGAATGACATATTCTGTTAAAGACCTTTGAAAAATAAGGTAAAGATATTTCGAGCACCACTCAGCGTAGCGAAACAAAAATGAATTTGGAATACCGTCAGCACCAATGGCTTTCTTTGCTGGAAGATTAAGCAGAGCTGAGAATATTCCTTCTGTAGAGATAATGATATCAGGTAACGTTGATAAAGTGGACAGCTGATCAAAACAAGGCACGGTGCCGTTATCCATAGTGAAGACAGACGCAAAATATTCGTTAAAACCTTCTGCGATAGCGCTATCATCGTCTACCAGATTGTCTGAAACGAAAAGCGTGGAAATCTTTCTTCGGGCCGGCGATAACGCCCTCCAGAATTTATCAGGCGATTCTTTCAAAAATGTTTGCAGAGTGACACTATTGAATCGAAACTTGGCGAGGCGAATCATTGCTTTAAGTTGTCTTCTCATTTCAGAGATAGGTAAAAATTTGTTGCACTTCCTAACACGATTAATTATCCGTTTCAAGTGCAGAATTTCACGAGTCATCCACGGGTTATGCTTGCGTGTAACTTTAGTGCTCATCGGAACAAAACGGCGTAAACATTCAAGCACAACCTCCTTAAAAAAGCCCCAAAGAAGGTCAATAGAACAACCGTCCGAACACACATTTAAAAACGTGTCAAGGGAAAGTTCCAGCGCATCAATAATGGACTCATCCTCAGCTTTAGAGAAATTAAAAATAAGCTTGATTCTGTTTACGTGGTGATTGTTTAGTTCCAGAAGTTGAAATTTCAACCACCACCATCAGATGATCAGAAATTCCTTCCAGTACGTTGCACTCATAGTTCCGTGCAGCAATCGTGTCGCATATGAACACAAGGTCAAGTGTGGAATTAGAGGACGCAGTAATACGTGTAGGGCCATTTACAATTTGAAGTAGATTATTATTGAACGCTGTGTCAATTAGTAGGGAAGTATTGGAACAGTTCGTGGAATTGCTACTGAGTGATTCCCAGTCAACTGAAGGCAAATTAAAATCACCAGCCATCAAAAAGAGCGGATGTTTTTGTTTAATTTTCTAAACAAAATCCGTAAGCACCTCAAGAAAGGATGGACATGCATATGGCATAAGTTCGCGCATGGAAATTACACGTTGAGATCGATCTGCGAGCCTGTCGCACGTTCACATTGCACTCTGTGTGCAAGAATGTGCCGCCCGTCATTCCTGTCTGTATCTCTGTAAGCCCGTTTACCAAGGCGAGAAAGTATCTCCCGTTATTTCAAAATAAGCATTTTATGGTATTTATGACACGACAGCACCGAGCGGCGTCGTTGTCGTCAGTTATCATGGATATTCCCGTGTTTATGTGCCTGTGACCTGCCACAAAGGGGGACTCAGCATTCATCATCTCTACGTCCTTAAGTTAAGCTGTTGAGTGGTTTCCAAATACACAATTTCCAGAAATAAACCAACTGCCAGAGGTAATCAGCTCAAATGCTAGTAATGTCTTTCCTTTACGCTCACTCAATTTTCACTTTTAATTTTTATAAAGATGCTAATCGTGCTTTCTATTCGCAACGCTCTGCTGAAGATCTCCCGCGGTGCTACTTTTACTGCTTTCAGAGGGACTCTTTCGAGTGTACGCATGTACATAAAAGTTCACAAATAAACACAATATCAGGAACGTCTGCGAGTTTCCAAGGAAGATAAGATATCTCGGGAACCCACAGTCGACGAACAAAGGGATAGACACATGGAGTATGATAATAACAAATTGAGCGATCTGCAACGTGGTAAGGTACTTCTTCCACCAGAGGTACTTCTGCACTCCGGGACCCAGGGTAGCGAGGAAGTAGTAAGAGTACATGATGATGTGCACAAACACGTTGAGGGCCAGGCTAAAAGCGACGTGTCCTTCTGGAGCGAACAAGGTCCAGAACCAGACGTTCGCCGCCACGATGGTGTGATGGATGACGTGCAAGTGCGTGATTTGTCGGAATTTCTTCCGAAGGACGAAGAAAACGGTGTCCAGAAAGTCAACGTACCGGACCGCGACAAAAAACCATCCGTCTTTGTAGTATTGGGTTAACTCTTCGTCCATGTACCCGGTTATTCCTTGACACCAGAGACTGTAGCGACCTCCTGGAAGGTAGGTCGTTTTCAGAAGGATGTAGAGGAACCTAGCATTGACAGCTACCATGCCAAGGTTGTACAAGCGAACAATATTTATGATGTCAAAAGGTTCCCTGTCTTTCATCCATCGTGGGCCAGCCACCTTGACAAAGTACAGGTATCCCAGAATCAGGGGAAAGACGAAGAAGGGGTTGACTACCAGAGGGTAGTCTCTTGTCCTTGGATCGCCCATTTGCTGGATCTGACTCAGAAACGTGATTGGGTTCATGCTGAGATGCATCGTTATGACCCTCGCCGGCTGTGAATTAGCAAGAGCTTGTGTCACCTGGAAGAAGGAAAGAAGCTAGCGTTATGGTGCCTTCTCTTGAAGGCATGTTTCTGTTTCATCCTTACATAACCACTATTAACAGTAACGTGGTGGAGAATCCGAAAAAAACTGTCTTTCAGAGGGGTGACATTCCTTATCTCGAGAAAAAAAAATATTAATGGGGAGAAAACGTGAATAATTATTTATTTACTTATAGAGGATGTTCTCAAAACAGCACATTCTTTGCCTTGGTGCACATTTACACAATTCGTTAACAATGGGAGAAGGATTTTAACTCTCAAGTATATGAAGCCGAGATGGATAATTATACATCTTCCATCAACGACCACCACTTCAAAGCTGCTTTACGGAAACACGTTCAGAAATCCTGTGCTTGTTAGGCGTAATTTGTATTTCCGTTGCAGAGCTTTTGCTATAAGCATCTGAGAGTAAAGTCTGGTTCGCATACTCGCGACTGCTTACGACCATTTGCCTTGAAGCCCGTTGAAACCTCTGACGACAAAATAACAAAATACTGGCGCCATCTATCGGATAGCCGCCGAATTCTTTCAGATTCCGTATATTTTGTATTTTTTGGCGCATCATTCTATTTTTATTTTAGATTGAAAAAAAGATTTGAGAATGTAATAAACAACCATTTAGTGTAGATATTACGTACATTTGATTTTGCAAATACAACTACCGCAAAACATTCGCTCTAGTGAAATGCAGTCGCAGGGTCACCTCGTACAGATCGCCAGCGTGCCAGTATGTTATCTCGTAGTGTGATCACAAAATCACGGTCCCAAGCAAACGCAAGTATGTGAACGTGCCTTACGTTTCATGGGAAATAACTGAGATTCAGTGTTTTCGGTAAATACCGATAAAACCTCGAAGATTAGTCCTTGAACCCGTTTTATCATAATAAAAAAAAAAAACGATTTATCATTTTTCTGTTGAAGACTTGGTTCGAGAATTCCTTCCTAGGAGACTTGCACAAAGAAAGGGCGCCATCGAAAAGGGAGAGGGAGGAATGGTACCGTTTAAAAGTAATTGTAGTATTTCCAGAAGTAACAGGATTACCCGTGTGATCACCTCTTTCTAAAAGTAATAAGTGATTGCAAAATTACTCTAAAAAATCCATTACGAGCAATTTGATTACAATGGGTGCCTTACAAGTCTGCCTTGAACACAGCTTCAATGAACTGTCCGTGAGACCACTTTCTTCTTCAGAAACCAGAACCCTTATCGATTGTTTCATTCTTTTATTGTTACCGGGACGCTTTCCGGGTATTCTGGACATGATCATGTTTTTTGGAGGTTTTGGGCATATTGTCCCACACCAAATATTAACACACAAAAAAAAAAAATCTGCTGGGAAAAAAAAAAAAAAAAAAGAAACCCCAAAAAGGTATTTTCGGTATCGAAGAGAAATAAACCCCGAAAACACCGGGCCCCACTTATAACGTATTACTGACTTATTAGAAAAGCACAGTTAACATATCTAGCACATGTTTTCTCTCCCGAACGAAAAAAAAAAAGTGGTCGGCGTCATTGAGCAATACATTGGAAATTTACGTGTATTGTCTGAGTTTAATTCCGTGGCCTACATTTTTCAACCCGTAATGAACAAAATACTACTTCCTCGCAAAATATTTCAGCGAAAATATTTTGCGAAAGCATGTCGGTGTTTAATGAAAGTTAAATCCCTCTTCTAGCAAGCAAAGCATGACTGTTCCAAAAAGAAAATGTGCGCACTTTGTTTTTCTTTTTTTTTCGTTTTCGATTCAAAGTCTGGTATAGAAATGTATCATCGGTACAAATCATCGTATGAATATTATTCACCCTAAGATAGTGCCATCGGACGTTAATTGAACCAACATTAACTAATTCTGAACCAAATTTCTAGTTGCCTCGGTGACTCCGAGGCGAAGCTCCGGCCTATGGATTCCCCCGACTCATCGATTCCCCAACTACATCGCAGGCGCATGTAGCGCTGAGGATGATCGGTGAGTCGGGGAATCGAACTTCTCTCGATTCCCCGACTCACCGATCATCCTCAGCGCTACATGCGCCTAGAGCGCCGAGAGCCGCCATGTTTTCCGAGGGAGGATCAAAAGCCAGGAGGTGGCATCACCCCGGACTCCGATTTTCGGTATTTCAAAAAGAAAAAATGTAATGCGTTCGCAATCGCGTAAAGAAAGAAAAAAAAAAGAAACATTTTCACGAATGTCATTATTAAATATTAATACAAATGTCGCGTGGGTAAAACGAGGGCGAGACAAATAAAGCTACGCTTTGTAGTTTCACAAGAAAAAACCGTCCGGTGAAATACACCTTTAACAAAAATCATAGATTGTTACGTGCAGGCGTCATTTTTAACGGTACATTTTAGATCAAGCTTGGTGACTTGGGACACCCTATATATATATATATATATATATATATATTGCGAATGGTTGACGAGCTTAAGTTTGAAAGCTCACTTACTCTGAAGAAGTCGATGGAGTTCGGAGCGTCTTAACACCAGCAGGTTCTTCGAATGACAGTGCACGCCGTTCTGTCCTCAATCTGACTAGTGTGCTTGATATTTAAGCGCTTATCTTTAGGTCTCATTCCGGAATTAATGTGTGCTGTACTGCACGGTTGGAAGACAATAGAAGGGAAATTCGCACACTCGCCCCGTTTAAGCACGTTCCAATATTATCTTCTACAGGAAGTAAATAAGTAGTTTCACAAGAAAAAGTATTTTTCCGGAGCTTAATTATAGGACCTAATAATAAAAAAAGCGTCCACCTTTTTATTTAATTTTTAGTATGGTAGTCAAAATTAGTGTTTATAGTTTGCGTCAGGGTAATGTCCCAGTGAAGCAACCAAGGGAGAAGTTTCGCGGTACGCACTCTAGCCTAACGAATCGGACCCTGCAATATGAGCTGGCCCAGTCACGTGCTAGGCCCAAGTGGAAAAATGCAGCAAGGAGTGTCTTCGGCATCCTAAGCTATGACACAAACTGTCAGATTTTAGCAATACAAAATGCTGCATGGCTTGTGCCACCTTGGCCTGAACGCTGCTAGGCCGTTCATAATTAAATGCGCCCTGTACGTACTTTACATTAACCGATCGTTCTCGGCCCTCTATGGCCGTCCTCTCACTCAGGTTAAGTCACCAGTTTACACATGCACACAATTTGGAGGCGAGAGCGTTCAGTTTGTTTTCGCGTACTGAACAATAAAGATGTTACCGTTCCTTGATAAATTTCCGGTAGGGGTTTTAAGGACAATCGTGTCTGACGTTCCTCACTAACGTAAGTAAAGCTCCCCATGAAAAAAGAAAAAAAGGTGGCTCATATTGGCTTATTGTTTTGCAATTTTAAAACGTTGAGAAGGCGGTGCAATGAAAAAACCGGGTTTGTATCGGCTTTTTTTAGTTGTCTGTTCCTTATGCCTTCAGAAGAGAAGGCATGGCATCGCTTCTAGAATGTGCGGAGCTTTAAGTCTCAGTCGCAGTGCCCATACACTGACTTGTGCCCATTACTTAAAAATGTAATGTATTGCAATTACAAATTACCGAGCCTCAAATGCTAAGGCTTACCGTTAGAAATTGCTTTCTGCTAACAGCCTACTAGCGCCACCTGCCCCTCTTTCCGAAAATGGTGTAGGGGGGATGGAAATGGATACTTTATTGAATATTAAGGATCAGTATGTTGTGAACAGTCATCCTGTTCGAATGTCTTTACTTCGCGCTTGGCGACAAGTAAGAAAAAAAAAAAAGAATGTCAATGTTCGGCCGGATTGAAGCCTTTGTTGGGGGAGGCGACGAGTGGCCTGCCTATGTGGAACGAGTTCGCGAACTTTTCCTTGCCAACAACGTCGTTGCTGCAAAAAAGAAGTCCATTTTCTTGAGTTGCTGCGGCTCAAGGAGCTACACTTTGCTTCGGAACCTTTTGTATACTCCGTTCGCCCTTAAGCTAAGACTGGAAGCTCCGCCTTCAGCGCGAGCTTGCTGGCTTTTGCAGTGCTTTGGTTGCGCGTGCCTGCGCGTTCACACTTGTGTTAGCAAAAGCAGAAAGCTCCCACTTTAGGCGGAGCTTCTAGTCTCAGCTTAAGGATGAACGGAGTATAGTAGTGCCTACACTCCTACAACCCCAAGTGCTTCAATTTTATGCTGTGTATCCTAAAGTAAAAATAACCAAGACGATTGCTAGATGCCATTTCTGGTTGCTTGGAATCTACAATTTATCACCAACCAAGTGAGAGAATCCAATGTGTGTCGAGCTTACCACAAGTCTCCTCTTGGCGTACCCATCACACCCTTACCTTACCTTAAAATCCGTAGTCCAGGCTCCATGTCGACTTCGGGGGCTTCTTCCTGGGCCACGATTTCCTAGTTATGGTAGACGCTTTATCCAAGTGGGTGAAAGTGTATTGTGTCCCGTTACCCTCAGCAGAGGCCACCAGCTTAGTGCTCAGGATCATTTTTGCGCGGTATGGCCTTCCCGACCTAATTTTCTCGGACAATGGGCCCATATTTGTCAGCAGCCAGTATGCAGAATTCTTGCGTCAGAATGGCATTGGTCGCATGCTTGCACCACCATACCACCCCACCTCTAATGGAGCAGCCGAACTGGTGGTTCAAACTATTAAGGTCAAACTCTAGAAGAGTGCACTTGTGACTTCTCGACTCACGTGGCAAGGGTTCTGTTTGAGTACCGAACAACGCCGCATGACCTAAGGGGTAGCGTACCAGGCAAGTTGCTTAAGGGAACAAAACTCAAGACGGAATTTGACATCACGCACCGCAGCCTTCGGACCACTGTCCAACTGAAGCAACTGTAGCAAAAGTTGCACGTTGAACAAGGTTGCACCGAGGTGCACTGCTCGATTCTGGTACACCGGTATTTGCCCGGAACTTCAGTGTGCCTGCTTCAGTTTCGGGCCCACAGAGTGGATCCTCAGCCAAGATTACCCTGGAAAATGGAGCGTCCTGGCATAGAGATGGAGATAACCTTCGAGTAAATCCCACGCATCACTCACCTCACCCAGAGGTCATTCCTCAAAAGCATCACGAGCTGCAGCTACCGATGGAAAATGCCGCACCTACTGAGGCCGAACCTGAGCAGCAGCCGACATCACCACTAGAGGCCTGCCCATTACC